TTTTCATTGAACATATATAGGGAATTTCCCCATTTAAAAAAGAGAGAGAGACCACTGAAAATAAGTAAAATTGTTCAGAATTCCAATTTACTTGGACATGTAATGTCCCTGATCCAGAAGTATCTCTTCCGGCTTCACATTAATTTTCTCTAGAAAGGTCGCACCTTTTACTTAAACCACTTCTCTCCTCCTCTGTCTAATGACCTATGACTGATGGCTCTGGTTGGAAATGTCTGGTTTGTTTGAACTTTGGGCATTGAATACAAAAATTACATCAGAACAGTAGAGATCGTAAAGCCTCTTACTGGAAAACAGAGTAATGTGCTTATCAGTTACTTTCTGCTCCCCTTGACGTTACAAATCAATAACGTGAGAGGGCATTGCTTAGGTTGATTACTCACACGTGTGCACATAGTTACCAACTTCATAACATTCCAGCTTCTTCAGACTTGAAATACAAACAGAGTCCTGGTGTGGCACTGTGGGTTAATGCGCTAGACTGTAAAGTTGGTTTGAACTACAAGGTTGGTGGTTCAAGCTCACCAGCCACTCCTTGGAAATCCTATACCGGGTCGCTATGGGTCGGAACTGGCTCGATGGTACTAAACAATAACAACAACAATATTTCCATCACTTGAAAACAATAGGATTCTGTATTATGAGTGAGTACTGGTGTGGTGCTGTAAGATCAACACTGCACTGCTAACCACACGGTTGATGGTTCAACCCACCAGCTGCTCATCGGATATCCTATAAACAGGTTCAGTGTGAGTCAGAATCAACCGAATGGCATTTAACTATGAAGAAAGACCTAGTGATCTATTTAGGAAAACTCAGCCAATGAAAACCCATTGTACATGAAGTCATCGTGATTTCAGGTAGGACTCAATGGCAGCTAACAACGTTCTCTGCTTCTGGGAATGCCTGAATGTGGACAGGGTACCCACTGGAGTCTGAAGCAATAGAAACTAAATCTAAAATTAAATATATAAGATATACCCACCAGTCACTTAATCTAGAAAAGGTATACAAAAAATTTTAGAAAAGTGACTTCTAGTAGAGAGAAAAAATGAGAAATCCAACAAAGAATTAAAAAAAAAAAAAAAAAAAAAAAGACTGAGCAGATGCTATCAAAACAAATGGAGCACAACATATTAAAGTCACTGGTGGATGCAAATGCTTAGCAAGTAAAAGAGAAAAAAAGAAAATGAGGCAGTAAATCCATCTTTACCACTCTTAACTTCCTCATCTTAAACAAGCAAAACAAAAATACAACTTCTAAGTGCTACAGACCCCAACCTTTGACCTTCACTTTTCCAAATACAGCTTATTCTATCCTCAAAAGTTAAAGGATAAATTTAACTGAGAGGATGCACCTAGGTCACAGGCCATCTCTGAAACGGCCTAAGGTTGTCTTTTTGATGCAGAAAGGTGCCCTGGTGGCACTGTAGGATAAACACTGGACTGCTAGCTGCAAAGTCAGCAGTTCGAATCCACCAGCCACTCCACATGAGAAAGATGAGGCTCACTGCTCTAGTAAAGATTTTACAGCCTCAGAAGCCCTATACAGGGTTGTTAGGAGTCGGAATCAACTCAATAGCAGTGGGTTTGATGAAGAAGTGGCTTTTAAGGCAATTCTTGTACATTCTTAATTTGTGAATTGCTCATTTTATAAGTCAAGCTTGGAGAGAGAACAATACGTATTCATTAGAGGTTTATTTAGAGGTTACTGTGCTTATGTTTCCATTTGTTAGTATTTATGAGTATACATGTATTTGGGATCTAGCCACTAAAATTAGGATTCTGAGACAGGAGTTAGGCTGCCATTTTGTACTTTGTAAATGGCCTCCAATGCCACAAAAAAGTATAAAATGTATTGCTTCCTAACTGATTGATCTCTCTGATCTAGATTTTTTAAACGTAAGAATTCTTAGGGCACACTTTCATGTTGTCAGAACCAACTAGCCAGCTTGTATTATAGCTGTCCGTTCATTGTCACAGAGCATTAAATATACCCTATCCCACTGCAACTCAGTTGGCCAGAATATCATTTTACAACTAAAGAGAACATGAGAGAGAGCAAAGCAATCTAGGTGCATAAGCATGAGTAATTTTATTGGCCACAAAGAAATTTTTGAAATCTTGAATTTCAGAACCCAAAAGAATCTGCAAACTACAGGATATAAATATTATGAAATAAAGAGTAAGATAAGAACAGAAGATAGCCACAACTGAATACTTATACCTCTTCAGTTTATCTTATGGAAAAGTACCCAATGAATTAAACATGACTTTTGTTTCCTACCCCAAAGAGATTCAGTAGGTAAGAAGAGAAATCAATCATAAAACTGGCTTTCCTCATTATGTAAGATAAAACAAGTACCAGTATTTAGAAGGATTCCTCGTGTGGTGCTGTAGGATAAGCACTGGACTGCTAGCCTCAAGCTCAGTAGTTGGACTCAGAGGTGGAATCAACTTGACAGCACTTAACAACAACAACATTTAGAATGAACAATAGTGACTAGGAGACATTTTAATCTTTTCTCAAAATGACTGTTTTGAACCTATTCTAGATAAATTTTTTAGTATACTCAAGTAACTGGATGGGGCTAAGTGAGAAGCAGTCCTGGTCATCATTAAACCTCTAAAACCAAGGGCTGTGGGCACAGGTCTAGATCTTCTTTTACACAATTTATTATCTCTGGGATTGTGTGACTGATGAGCTAGTTAATGGGGATTCTCAGCCAGGAGATCTTTTACAGACCCATAATCATAGTAAGAATACTATCTTTTCCCCTTGATGACAGGCAACATGAACACACATTAAAAGCTAAGCCGACATTTCAAGAAAAGTACACAGAATGCTTTTACGGGGGTTTCCACTAGGAAGTAAAACTGACTTTCTGAGATGCAAAAAGTCTTACTTTAGTTCCATGTGAATTTCATACCAGATACTTGGTTTATTTTCATTAAAAACAAAATAAAAAATATTTAAGTCTACCTTTACTCTGGAAATGCCTATTCAAAAAATGTTTAGCCTAAGGAAATAATCAGAGAAGTTCCAATGAAGCATATACACAAGATGGCTGTTTCTAATATGAAAAATTTGGAAGCAATCTAAATAGTTATCAAGTGGGGAATGGGAATGAGTCAATAGATGGTGGTCCATTTTCACAATGGAAACATACCCGAAAAATGACCACTTGACTATCTGACAAAAAAAGAGAACCCGTAAATGTTTTAAGTATAAAAACAGGCAACATTTAATATGGCTCCACTGTTGTATGAAGAGCAGCATGTGTACTGTCTGCACACCCAGGCTCAGAAAAATGTCTAGAAGGAGACATACAAAATTCTCATGCTAATATTCCTGGATAATAGGATTAAGGATGATTTCTATTTATTACTTCATGCCCTTCTACTTTGCATTTTCATAATTACAATAATTATTATTACTACAAAGAACTCCAGCAGTCACAAAAGTAGCAGAGCTATTTCCATTTTGAGAAATGAATAAGCAAAGGGTTCCGGAAGCTCTCCACAGTGCAACAAATAGCTTATAGCCACAGAAGCAAGCCTTCCAGAGCCCCTGGGGACTATCTTCCTTTCTCATTCTCCAGACACTGGCCTGAGGGGACCAGCAAGCCTATGAAGAGAGTACCAAAGCCACAGCTGAGGAATTTCTGTAAGTCATACCTTACAATCAATCATGACTTCACTCAATTTCTCAAATGAAGAGTCATCATCTTCATCTGAATACCTAATTCTGATTTCTACTTCTCAGAACTCAGAATGATGTCATCTAGCAACGAGACCAGAAAATTTAAGATGGCTTTCTCCCATGTAGTATGCCATGATAAGAGAGAACAGGAAAATTCTCTCAAGCCATTACAGATGAGTGTATTTTTATTTCAGTCAATTCTTACCTATATTCACCTCACATACCTGCCTCTGTTCTTCTAGGCAAACAACAGACACCATTAAAAACCCTTCAAGAAATTGTCTGATTCTTAATGTGTTTAGAACAATATATTTCCTTATCACCACCCTATTTTCCCTTTTTTGGTGATTTTGAAAATATTTTAAGTTAGAGACAACAGGAAAAGAATATAAAGGGATATATTTTATAGACATGATCAAATATCCCTTAAGAAATTTTTTTTAAGAGACAAGAATACAGAAAACATATGATGCATTGTGAGCCTTACTTACCCTGTTCAGGGCCTTTGTGTTTGGAAAATGACAAACTTCTTTTTCTAGACAGACAAATATGAACAATTCACATGGAGAAACCAAACTATCTACGACCAGAAAACTCATAGAAAGTCCAATAACATAGTGCCTTAAGGAAAAAAATCTATATATGAGTACATACAAATAAATGCTCACTATTACAAAATTAGCCAAATATCTTTACCTCCACAAAAACCGGTACAACAGCATCCAGACTACTAACAGCTTCTCCATTCACAAGGAAAATGCCACGGCTCCAGGCCCCTCCAGAGCAAGGTGCCACACAGCTGGCTTGCTGTGCGTGGACATAGTCTTCTCTCCCCCTAAGCTAACCTGAAAATCAAGCTGGACTTGTTTACTGCCCCAACATCTGTAATTGCTAAACATCTCAGTGACATGGTGTAACAGTTACTGCTTATGCAAACTGCCCATCTGAATGACTGTCTGCAGCATGAGCACATGAAAATCCAAGACACAAAGAAATTGGAAACATATGTAAAAATTAATAGCCGAATTGACCAAAGGGGGAGGGGAGGACTAACACAGCAAAATCGCTCTGGAGCACTAGCAGACTTTACAAAAGAATCTCTCCTTTAGAGGTTCCTCCTTAGCAGGGCCACAGCTCCCCCTCCGTGTGGGATCCTGCCTGGCACACACATCCCTTTAACCCACCCGTGCAAACTTCTAACAAATCTTGCTACAAAATGGGACAGAGACGATACAAGTTAAGGGAATTTATTACGTCTTGAAAAGCAAAAGAAAAATACCTCCTCTCCCATCATGCAGTCAGCCTCCTCTCTGCAGTTTGAAAAGATCCCAGAACTACCCTGGAGTCCTCCCACTTCCTTCCACCAGCCAAAGGCGCGGAGCCTGCAAGACCCAGCCTAACCCTGAGTCATACTTGGGACCAAATGAGCAATGATGAGAACAAAGCTCGCATTTGTTTATGGCTCAGGAAGCCAGGGCCAATTCATGGCTTGGGTGGCTTCTCTAGGAGCCCTCTTCCCTGGCCTCTTGGATGCAGAAACCCAGGCTACCTCCTGGGGCCCGGGCCCACAGGTGTGAGTGACCTTTCAAACAAGGCCCACACTAAGGGAGTGTTTATTTGGCAGGACCCAATGATAACTTCTTTTAAAAAATGCCACCAAGGAAAACAAAGCAAGCCATCTTTCAACAGACAATATGACTGGGAAGTATAGAATATGATTCATATGTGAAATGCCAATCATGCAAATGCCTGGATTGTTTTTAAAAAATCAAACTAGTTGTACTACACAAAAATTACTCATTAAAGGGGAAACAATGGAGGAAAACAGCTGTAGCGTTAAAGACATACTTTTCTATAGAAACATACGTCACTGTTGTTGCCAGCAACGTCATCAGTAGTACCATAAAAGATTGGAATCGAGTGTTTAAATAGCAAGATTGTTTGCCCAAACGCAATACCACTTTAATCATCATCTCAATGTATTTAAAGCCCAGTGGTAATTAAACAACAACTCTAAAGCCAACATATCTGGGATCAAAATCCTAGTCTGGCCACTTCCTGGTTATATAACCTTGAACAACCTATAACTTCTGCTTGCCTCAGTTTCCTTATCTGTAAAATGGAGGTAACAACAGCACTAACCTATAGGATTTTCATGAAGACTGACTAAGTAATATATGCAAAGGGCTTAGGAAAGTGCCTGGTACATGTTCTAGTTACATGTTGTTGAATTGGTTCTGACTCATAGTGATCCTGTATAGGGTTTTTGAGGAGTGGCTGGTGGGTTTGAACCACCAACCTTATGGTTAGTAGTCCAGTACCTATCCTAGAGCACCACATCTGGCACATAGTGAGCACTATATTAGCTACTATTAAAAATTCAGGATGACTTCACAACTCAGGACACTTTGAGCCAATAGTCTCACCATATAATCTTTCTCTATATAGTTAAGATTCTGATGATCTGTCTCCATTATTAATCAAGTTAATTCAAAATTTTTCAATTAAACTAATCTAAACATCATTAGTTTAATTGTCCTGATGTGGCGCTGTGGGTTAAAGCACCAGACTGCAAAGCCATTTGAACTACAAGGTCGGCAGTTCAGGCTCACCAGGGGCTCCTGGGAAACCCTCTACAGGGTTGCTGTGGGTCGGAAGTGACTTGACAGCACTTAATAAGAACAACAACAACCACCATTTATTAAATATTTATTAACACTCTGCAGTGTGTCCAATTTTGTGTGGGGCTTCGAGTAAGATTCTGTCCAGTCCTCAAATTCATAACGTACTACGGCAAAGATCATCTATCACACAAAAACACAAATATGGGAGATGCCACAATGCCATACCTGCCTAGTTCTCCTCAAATTGCCAAAGTCATCACAACACAGAGTTTGAAATACTGTCATAGTAAAGAGGAGCCAAAGAAACAGGATGACTACATGTGATGTGGTAGTCTGAGTGGGATCCTAGAACAGAAGGACATTAGGGAAAAACTAAGGAAATTGGAATTAAGTACCAGACTTTGGTAGCTCTGGAAGCTTAGTGGTTACGAATCGGGCTGCGAACCTTAAGGTTAGCAGTTCGAAACTACCAGCTGTCCCGCAGATGAAACATGAGGCTTTCTGCTCCTGCAAAGATTTACAGCCTCAGAAACCCTGTACAGGGTCACTATGAGTTGGAACCAACTCCACGGCACATAACCACCAACACCACCAGACTTTAGCTAATACTTCTGGATCAATACTGGTTCATTAGGTGTGACCAACATCTCATATTAATATAAGATGTTGATAACAGAAAACTATTAGGGGTTTGGAGAACCTCTCTGTACTCTCTTTGCAATTTTTCTGTAAATCTAAAATTTTTCTGTTGTTGTTGCTGTTGTTGTTAAGTGCTGTTGAGTTGGTTCTGACTCATAGCAACCCTGCATAGGGTTTCCCAGGAGTTGCTAGAGGCTGGTGGGTTTGAACTGACAATCTTGTAGTTAGCAGTACAGTGCTTATCCTACAGTGCCACACCAGGACTAAAAAAACTATCCTAAAATAAATTTATTTTAAAAACAACGACAAAAAAACCCTACCTTAGTTATGAAGATAAGCCTGCTGAATGATTATGCATATGTATATAAACATATGCATGATTTATACACAGATTTGATTATGTATATGTATGTAAATGTATTTAATTAACAAAGCCACCCCAACTTCATAGTCTATCTATTAACAAAGGTAGTCCAATGCTGACTCTTGGCTTTTTGGTTACCAAAATACACAAAAGAACTTTCTTTGAAAGGAAACTTGGCTCTTCTGTCAGTGTTGCTGCCAACCCTGGCTACGGCAGCCCAGCTTAAAGAGTGTGCATGAGGTGGGCCCATCTGCCCCTTTCCAAGAGCTACTAGAAGTTCTTGGTGCCTGGCCAATTAGTCATCAACCACAGATCCTGGGGCTGGCAACTCTCCCAGCTACTTCCTCTCCCATCTCCAGTCCCTGTTTCATTGCACCTCCCCAGTTATCTTTCAAAAATGCAAATCTCATCATGCCACTTTTGGACATAACTCCTCCACCCACTCCCAGCCCACCCAGAAGATGTGCACCTCCACCTCTACCACCTCTTCCCTTGCACTCCAGCCCAGCCCAGCCCTTGATCACCCCTTCAGAACACCCATGTTCTCTCCTTGTCCATGTCCACACCGCCCGCCCCTGTCCTTTCTCCCCATTCAGCTTTGACCACTTTGCTTTTTCTGCAAAGATCTCAGTAACTATCCTTTTCTTCTTGACCTCCATGAAAGTTTGTAGCTCCTTCCTCTCTTTTTTCAGGAATGCGTTGGACAAACATTTGCAAGTGCTTAGCCCTTGAATTATAATGACTTTTATACATACCCACTTCTCAGACACAGGGACAATCCAAACACTAAGCCAGGGGTCTGTATATAATGGCTACTCCAAGGGTAGATTTGGGGAAAGGGTGTTAAATCATTTTCAAAAAATGGTATCAGACCCACACATCCCAAACAAATAGCCTGCTAGGTAAACAAACAAACAAAAACCTGCACTTATACAAATACAACTTGTAGACATGTCACTTAGCCAATTCCTCTCCAAACAGACTGCCACCCGTTAGCTCATTCATGTAGAAAATTCCAGAGCAGCCACTGCTGGTCCATGAAAGGCATTCAATAAAGCTTCAGTAAATGAATGATGAAATTACCAAATGGAGGAGTAAACCTGAAGCTAAATCACCAGCAGACCCTAACAGAATTAGAGTCTTCCTCTGAAATTTCAATTAGATTAGGGCAAAACACCATATTCATTCATGCATTTAACAAATATTTACTGAAGGCCAACTATAGTTTATCAACTATTTACAATGAAGTGTAAACATAATGGTGACAATCACAAAGTCCCAAAAGCATGGCACCTAATTTCTAGTGGCTGATATTTAAGACTTAGTGATACAAAACAAACAGCTTCCACCTTGTTAATGCTTCTCTTCTGAGAAGTATAAATGGACATAAAAAACTAATTTGGTTTTTAAGGACTTGGCACTAGGTCTCTATTGAATACCAAAATACCTACCCTGGAAAGTTCTGGGGCAGGCGTACGTAAGGGTTCCTTATAGTGTTCTATCTAAAGAGCCCTGGTGGTGTGGTGGTTTAAAGTCTGCTAACCAAACGGTTGGCAGTTCAAGCCCACCAGTCGTTTGGTGGGAGAAGGATGTGGCGGCCTGTTTTCATAAAGATCACAGTCTAGGAAGCCCTATGGGGAAGTTCTACTCTGCGTGTGGAATCCTGGTGCGGCGCTGCAGCATAATGCACTGAGCCGCAAGGTCGTCTTTAACTGCAAGGTCAGCAGTTCAAACCTACCAGCTGTTCCTCAGAAACCCTATACAGGGTCGCTATGAGTCAGAATCAACTCAGTGGCACGTAACAACAACAACAACAACAACAACAACGGGTCACGATGAGTTGGAATTGTCTCAACGAAAAATGGGTTTGGTTTTAGACATTGTTCTTTCTACTGAGTTTGAAATTCTTCATATTAAAAAGTTAAAAATTATCTTGGAAGCTATACTGTTACTTACAGGCACTGCTCGTATCATAGTAAGAAGAATGACAACAATAATAACTAATAGTAATCAGGACTCCTGGTGTGTCGCCACAGGATCAGCACGGGACTTTGAACCACAAAGTCGGCAGTTGAAACCCACCAGCTGCTCCTCAGAAATCCTATACAGGGTTGCTATGTGTTGGAATTGACTCCACACCACTTAACAACAACATTAACCAAGTGATTATTATATGCCAGGCACTATTCTAACCATTTCCTGTGCAAGTTAATCCTCACAACAACTTTATGTGGCAGGTTTGATTCTTATTTGGATTTTACAAAGGATGAATCTAGAGCACTAAAAGGTTTAGTAACGCATCTCAGGAAAAAACACAAAGTAGGGGCTTGAGCCTTTGGCTGCAACTCTTAAACATGATACCCCTAAAAACAGGCTTTTAAAGCCTCCTGAAAATGAGATGCTTGGTGACCATTTGGCTACAATTCAACATTTCTTAGCCAATACGCTAATAGAGTGCTTTAGAAAGTGTATGAGCATGAACAGTATATATAAAAACAGTAAATAGCACTCAGCTTCTTCAATAGAAACTCTCTAATACTGTTACTGTTTCTGTTTCCCTTTCCCTTCCCCATTTACTTTTCCCTGATAAAGAAACTTAACAGATACACTCTGGGGAAAAATAACACAGAAACCCAAGTCTGGAAATCCCACACACTGCCAGCCCAATCAGTCATAGAGCATTTAT